TTGCTTTCTCTTTTGATTTATAGGGTGAACCCAAAATCTTCTTTTTTTCTTAGCTTCCTTCTCTTCCTCCTCTTCTTCACACAACATGGCTAAAATAATAATTTCTTCCTCTGAACTACTCATTTTCAATACTTCTATGTTGCACGCTCTAGTAGTTGACCCTTGACAACTGTACTTTTTTCGAAACTCTCGCTTATATTGCTGGTCTGTGGCGGTAAAGTGTGCGACGTCATGCAGGATGCAGGTTTGTGCTGTGCTGGTCCGTACTGGTCCGTGTAGGTATAGTGTGCGCGATCTTTAAGAGTACATTCATCATTATTTTTATTCTGAATTGTCAAGTGACGAATTATTGTTTTTTATTGCTTACTGTTAAAGAAAAAGTAGCAAAATAAACGGTATAGATCGAAGTGGAGTAAAAACTGACTTAAATAGAAAACCATTTTTTTGTACGCATCATTTTTTCTGTTTCTATCGGAATAATCTTTCAATTTTAACTTCCATAGACACGGCAACGATCAATATATTTCAATAAAACTCGTCATAAACTCTTTATTGCAATAAGTACGAATATCAGACAAGAGTTGATAAGTAATAACACAAAACCCACAAAGTTACAAAACTGTACCTTGAACTCGCTGATACCGTCTACACGTATAATATCACCGCACAAACTGGTTTGTGCAAACTAAAATCTTTAGCAGCGCGACGTTTACGCAGGCCGTGCTTGTTGGTTTGTGCGTGCTACCGTTTTACCGTCCACACACACGGGCTTCCCGATACAAACCAGTTTGCGCAAGTAAGTCTTCGGTAAAGCCTGTGCGTGTAGCCGGCCCTTTAAAAGAGCGTTTATTTTATATTGCAAATCAATTACAAAAAAACAACAAACATTTCATAGCAATTAAATTTAATGGGTATTTTCGAATAACGCCATTTTAAAATATGATATTTATATAAATGTTAAAATGATGATGTTAGCTTCAGCATGTTGAATCCGAATCTTACTCGAGATTCTTTGGATGATTAGTTATGTCTATTTATGTTCAGTACAAATTATTTTCTTTTGTAGATCTTGGAGTCCAAAAAACTTATTTGAACTTTTTGAACTTTATTCAGATATAACTAAAATCGCCTAATGGTCTTGATTATCTTCTTCAGTATCTATTGTTTTTTGTTTAATATAATCGGGGATGGTAGAACAATGTGTGTATACTTGAATACTTCCTTAATTTATGTTTTTAACATTGAAAATGTTTCTGTTATCCTATATAAGGGAGCCCAAATCGAATTAAAATGCTACATTTGCCACACAATGACGTCATATATACAAGGGTATAGGAAATCTCGGCGCAGCGGCGGCAGTCGGTCAGCGCGCGCAAAAACCATTACATCGCTAATTGTTTATTGATATATCTTTATTAGTTTAAAAGCAAAAAATATGGGGTTTGCTTTGATACCCTGTCAAGACATAAGCGAAACTTTTAAATTGTTTCTTTTTTTCATTTAGGCCTTCGTTTTTCGTTAAATGAAAGTTATATTAAAAAAAATCTATTTTAAAACCAAATTTTCGCATGATTGAAATGATTATTCATGTTTAAAGTTTTTTTTGGTCATAAGCGCTAATGGAAATGTTTTTTTGTAAATAATTATAAAAAATTACTCCCTACGAAGACTTTATTGTGTACTGGATCAAAAAATAAGTATTTGTTTTCTCTATACGGTGGTATTAATATATCGATTTTTGATGATAGTGCCTTTTTACCCGGTCTAATTTTGTACTACTTTCGGAATAAGGGTCCCCATATCATGTACTGTGATGTACTGTACTTACTATTTTTTTCTAATTATTTTAGTGTATTTTTAGTCACCTAATTATAAAGGAGAGATATCCAACCATTGCATTATTTCATTCTCACAAATTAAAGTTTTATGGTTTTTATTATAAAACAACGATTAATTTATTATACACCCCTTAACCCAAACACTCCAAGGAGGATATTTCGTGACCCCATATTTAAAGTGGACAAGCTTTATTAGTCAATGTTTTAATTACCCAGCGTCTTTAATAAAAATCTAATGTAATTTTTCATAGAAATGATCTGACATAAAAAGCAAATTTTATCAAAAAACTTTTTGATTATCTATAAGGAGTAAACCGCTGACAAATGTCTGTGTACTAATGCCAAAGTAATGCCAAAAATACAAATTAAATACCAAAATTTCTCATATAATGTCCCACTAATGCCAAGCTGATTCCAATATAATACCACTAATACCACGAATAATATGTAACACATTTGTTTCACGAATTAACCTGTAACAATACTGGTAGGTACGTGCACAGATTTTTTCCTAGGTAACTTAAAAGTCGTTAAAAGTCTAATTATATTTAAAGAAGATATAATTCCAACAAATTACATTATAAGGCCAATAATGCACAAGTAATACCATTAAAATTTTAGCGTTTTTGAGTTGTGTAACATATTTCTTTAACGAATTAACCTGTAAAACAATAGTGGTAGGTACGCGCACATATTTTTTTCGCTAGGTAACTATTAAGTCGTTAAACAGGCCTATAAAAGCTCTAACAACATAGGTAACTAATATTTATAATTTAATTCGAGTTTTAATCTCAAATAATAAATGTTTTTACTGGTGTATTTCTGAAGTGTTCATTATTAAAAGTAGATATTCTTCAAGTTATGCGAAGCAATAAGTAATGTTTCCGGTGAGACCGCGTATATGTCACCGGATTCTGGTTAGTATAAAGACTTTTTCTATAGAAAGAGTTTTTTTCTACATTTTCCTTTCAAAATAAGACGAATTTCTTCTTATTCTTTTAAATATTACAGTGTTTCTTTTTCCTTAAATGTTATACTTAATTTTCGCTTAAAATTAAAAAATCACAAATGGAGGAAAATATACCTTATTGAATAAAATTTATACAAATCACTTTACCATAACAAAAAAGTAAAAACATGTCATGGCGGAAGATATTCAGGTGGCATTTCACACATTTATCTATTAAAATCGAGATTAAAATAATAAACTTGCGTAACATGTTATACACGAGATAGAAAGTTTCAATCTCGATTAATACGCAATACGCTACGCAGTCAACTTATTCCTATGCGCAGATGAGCGTCTTCAATACTCTTCCTTCGGCCAGGGTCACGACGCCGCCGAAGAGGAATCGGCCTACGTTTGGCTAAACAGGCTGGACACGGTAGAGTACGATATTGGCGAGTCTGAATATTTATAAAAATTTGCAAAGTAAAATATGTTGGAAAAATAATTAATCCATACATAAAATCCATACATAAAAGGTCAAAGGTTTTTTTTGTTGCATCCATCCCGCCGAAACCGCTTTACCAATCTTGATGATTCTTTTTTTAAATGAAAGATATATATATGTAGATTTGTTATGAAGTATTTTTATAGTGCTTAATGGCTATTTCTTTGTGTAAAACGACTAAATACTAAAACATACCTGAAAAACACCTACACACAATACCTCCAGAAATAAATTATTTGTCATTGTCAGTGGTGTGTCAGTTAGATTATATATTACGTTTTTAGATATTTTAGAGTGAGTTCATGCCGCCAGCTTTAGATACATAAATATTAGCACAAAGGTTCGTTTAAACGACATTAGTGAATTAGCTACACAAAGCGATTTTAGGAAATTCATCCTCTTAGAGAGTAAAATTATCTCGGAACAGTTTGTTGTATGAAAATTCCTTACTATTTGGTCTAGAAGAATGAAATCCTACAAAAAGAATTAGAAGAAATTTTTGAAATTCATCAACCAAATGGGTAAAGTTAGTAAAAATTTATATAAAACTTGGTGACCTCTGGATTATACACATAAAAATTGACACAAAGGTAAAGCGAATTTATGAAATATAGGTTAAATATACCTTTAGGGAGTAGAATAGGGAATGAAAGTTTGCTGTACGAAAGTGCAATACTATAACATTATAAACCAGACAGTATAAAATTTTATACAAGGGTTTATTTAGTGACATCATAACGAAATATATCTTCCTCGATTATCCTTCAAAAAATAAAAAATAACCTATAAAGAGAGTATTAGTGCTCTTAATAAATAAAAAAAAGATGAAAAATAAAAACATTTATATGCTCTATAAAGAAGTAAAAAATCATTTAAATCGATGCATAAACGATTCGAGGTGTAATGCGAAAGTAGTCGCGAGAAAAAGCTGGTAATTTATTAAATTATTTTATTTAACTCATTAATTTTCATTGAAAAGGAATTTTTGTAATTCGCCACTATATTAGTTAAAAACTAAGAAACTCATATCAAATTTAAGTTTTGCGATTTTGACTTATACTTTTTACAAAATCTGAACACATTTTTAAAAGAAAAAGTTTTTGATAATATTTGTGTAGATTGACTACAAGTTGTATAACATAAATTTCTACGACCGGTCTACCTAGTGGTCTGCAGCATCGCCTTGTGGTGCAAACGTGGGCCTGTTAATCTGTGACGTGACGCACAACAGCCAAGAAAAACAGAAGCGTGGCTAAGAATTTAGTAATTTAAAAAAAAGTCTTTTAGATACAGTAGTAGGTATTAAAAAGTTTTGTGTTTAAATGGGGTTTGCCTTTAACAGGTAAAAAGTTATATCGTAAAGTGTAACTTTCCGTAAGAATTCTTTATCTGTCATTGATCATGATCTGTCATCATGTTAACCTGATGTTTTGTATGTTATTTTGTTTTTTTCGAGGTTTTTTTGCTTGCTTGTTTTACGGATAGGTGCGATCGCATAATTATTATTGATAATGTTATATTTAATGTTAACATTACTACTTTTTCAGTGAATCTTTAAATCTGTTGTTTTTTGTTAAGTTCGTTATTTAAACATATGTATGTAATACACTCATATTAACACTAATCATATTTTTACGTTTTTATTCATCATTTTCAATGCCCCCCCGGTTGCATCTTTGTAAAGGACTGTGAATTTTTTTTGTTACAGGTAGTGTTTGTCAGCCACTTACTATCGTAAAACCCACATCCGTGGAAAGGTTATAAAAATCAGGTACAGTATTACATTTGTTTAGAAATTATTAGCTCCTGTTACTTTCTTAAATTGATTGTTGTATTTTATAATTTAGTATAAAAAATGTCTATACCTATGTGGCGGATTCTTCTATCCAAAAAAATCCTTATGGGTTTTTCGCCACTGCACTGCAAGAAAAATCTACAAAATAAAATAGTTATTTTTTGTAAACACTTCTGGCGTTAAACCTAAACGGACGCTGCTTGTCAGAAGTTGTGTTTACAGTAATAAAAATTTGCCTAACAAAGAAAAAAATGCTTAACGTTTCGGAAAGTTTTCTCTTTCCGTCGTCGGAAGCAAAAAAATATATTGAACTATTCGAGAACACTTTACTTTTTAAAACAGATACGTCTACAAGAAATCGTTGACGTTCTGTTAAAATGAGATTATATTAAGTTAAACTTCAAAATTAACAATTACTACCTGATAATTACTTAATAAGGTAAAACCAAAAAGCCCAAACTTTCTGTATGATTTGTAGTAGTTTAGGCTTTCGCGGCCATCGTTTGAAGAATTATTTTTTTAGGGTTATTAAAAAAAATCGTCGGTTATTTTGCTTCGCTAGCGGCTATCGCTAGCACGAGAGGCTAGCATCTTCATTGAAGTGTATTTGATCCGATTCGCTCACACTAGTGCTGATGCCTCGGCGTAGAGGCGGAGCGCTTATTTATGCGTCAAAGCGGAGGGGGCGTGGCTTGTTCGGGTGGTAGTTCTTCCGGAACTGGTCTACTTCTCTGTGCTGCTACTTTGGTCCTAGATATAGCTGGATGCCAAATTCTGTTAAGGTAGAACGTTTCTTCCTTCCTGTTGAAATTATTTGGATGTTTGTGAATTTCAACAGCTTCTCTGACCAGACGAGGATGATATCCAGATGTTGTGGCAATGACTTTGGGTGTCTTTGAATTGGATTTTGTGGTCACCATCTCTTAGAGCATGTTCTGCTACGGCTGACTTCTCTGTTTACCCTAATCTGCAGTTTCTCTTGTGTTCCGTAAGTCTCGTTTCTACTGAGCGTTTGGTAATTCCAATATATACGCTACCGCAGGAACAAGGTATACGGTAGATCGCTTCAGAGGATAATGGTTCTCTTTTGTCTTTTGCTGGTCTTAAGCAGTCCCTTATTTTCGGGTAGGTTTGTATATGGTTTTGATGTTATGCTTCTTGAGAACTTTACCAATCCTATCGGTGACCTGGGAAACATATATGGAAGGAAGGCCTTATTAATGATGTTTTTCCTGTTCATTCAACGTCAGGTCTCCTCTCTGCCCACCTAGGTGCCAGCGCCGCCTTTATTTCTCTGTCATTATAGCCATTGGCAAGAAAGGCTTTATTTAAATGACTTAGTTCCTCTTGGATGTGTTCATTAGCACAGATACGTCTTGCCCTATTTGCTAATGTTCCGATAATCCCCTGTTTTTGGCTTGGATGGTGATTTGATAGTTTGTGTAAGTACCGGTCTGTATGAGTGGGTTTTCGATACACCCGATCGAGTGGGTTTTCATTCCCACCTGACATCGCGGAGCTCTTCCGAGTGTGTCTGACTGGTAGCTATTTCTTATGGAACGGCAATTACTACGAACAAACAGAAGGTGTCGCAATGGGTAGTCCAATCAGCCCAATAATTGCTAATTTCTTTATGGAGAGATTTGAAGAAAAAGCGCTAGAGTCATCCGTTCTGAAGCCCGCTGTATGGTTTCGTTATGTGGACGATACATTTGTTGTTTAGAAACATGGACGTGACAGCCTAGATGACTTCCTTCATCACCTTAATTCGCAGAGCCCGAGCATAAAATTTACCATGGAAACCGAAGTAAACAACCAACCGGCCTTCCTCGATGTGCTTGTCAAAAGAAATGGCGACCATTTGGATCACACGGTGTATCAAAAACCCACTCATACAGACCGGTACTTGCACAAACTGTCAAATCACCATCCAAGCCAAAAATAGGGGATTAACGGAACATTAGCAAATAGGGCAAGACGCATTTGTGCTAAGGAACACATCCAAGAGGAACTAAGCCATTTAAATAAAGCCTTTCTTGCCAATGGCTATAATGACAGAGAAATAAAGGCGGCGCTGGCACCTAGGCAGAGGAGACCTGACGCCAATGAACAGGAAAACATCATTAATAAGGCCTTCCTTCCGCATATGTTTCCCAGGTCACCGATAGGATTGACAAAGTTCTCAAGAAGCTATAACATCAAAACCATATACAAACCTACCCGAAAAATAAAGGGACTGCTTAAGACCAGCAAAAAGACAAAGAGAACCATTATCCTCTGCAGGGATCTACCGTATACCTTGTTCCTGCGGTAGCGTATATATTGGAACTACCAAACGCTCAGTAGGAACGAGACTTACGGAACACAAGAGAAACTGCAGATTAGGGCAAACAGAGAAGTCAGCCGTAGCAGAACATGCTCTAAGAGATGGTGACCACAAAATCCAATTCGAAGACACACAAGTCATTGCCACAACATCTGGATATCATCCTCGTCTGGTCAGGGAAGCTGTTGAAATTCACAAACATCCAAATAATTTCAACAGGAAGGAAGAAAACTTTCTACCTTAACAGAATTTGGCATCCAGCTATATCTAGGACCAAAGTAGCAGCACAGAGAAGTAGACCAGTTCCGGAAGAACTACCACCCGAACAAGCCACGCCCCCTCCGCCGACGCATAAATACGCGCTACGCCGACGCGGAGGCATCAGTCTAGTGTGAGCAATCGGAGCAAACACACCTCTGAAGATGCTAGCCACTCGTGCTAGCGAAACGTTAGGAAGCAATTCTAACCGACGACGGCCTAATAACCCGAAAAACCAAAATTCTTTCTGTATGATTATTTTTAAATTTTACGTATGTTATGTTTATTTATGTAATGTTCTTTAAAATCAAAGAAGCGATTGCCATACATTACTAACATCTACAGATGCATGAGCAATACATTTATTTTTATTAGATTGAATTAAAAAAAACCTCTTTTATTTTTCTTTTAGAGGCTATCGCTTCTTTCATTATAATTTTGGCGTTATTAAAATTTATTCTGTGCCCTGTGTCCCATGAATGCTGACAAATCTTAGATTTGTGAAAATCTCCCTTTGCCCTATCATATAAACTTTTTATAATACCTTTTTTTACACTTATACTGTGATTAGAAATAATAATTAATTATTTAATTTTTTTTTTCTTGCAGTGCAGTGGCGAAAAACCCATAAGGTTTTAACATTGAAAATGTTTCTGTTATCCTATATAAGGGAGCCCAAATCGAATTAAAATGCTACATTTGCCACACCATGACGTCATATATACAAGGGTATAGGAAATCTCGGCGCAGCGGCGGCAGTCGGCCAGCGCGCGCAAAAACCATTACATCGCTAATTGTTTATTGATATATCATTATTAGTTTAAAAGCAAAAAATATGGGGTTTGCTTTGATACCTTGTCAAGACATAATCGAAACTTTTAAATTGTTTCTTTTTTTCATTTAGGCTTTCGTTTTTCGTTAAATGAAAGTTATATTCAAAATAATTCTATTTTAAACCAAATTTTCGCATGATTGACATGATTATTCATGTTTAAAGTTTTTTTTGGTCATAAGCGCTAATGGAAATGTTTTTTTGTAAATAATTATAAAAAATTACTCCCTACGAAGACTTTATTGTGTACTGGATCAAAAAATAAGTATTTGTTTTCTCTATACGATGGTATTAATATATCGATTTTTGATGATAGTGCCCTTTTACCCGGTCTTTTTTTGTACTACTTTCGGAATAAGGGTCCCCATATCATGTACTGTACTTCCATCCCTGAAAAATTCAGCTTGTGACACCGAAGTGAGAGGTAAAGTCAAAATAAGCTTTAATCTACCTACATCATAGGTAAGTGTAGGTACTCTAGGTATATTCTGCCTAAACAGTAGCGGAACTAGCTGACAGTAGTAATTAATTTGTTATCCGATAAGTAGTTGTCATTATATAAGTTTAATCATCTTATACCTCCTATAACGGTAGGTTTTAGATTTTTCCTGATTGGTTTGTTAAACAAAAATATACTGGGCATATAAATGTCTGTTACAGTTTAATTCGTTAAAGAAATATGTTACACACATATTATTTTAATAATAATAGTATAATAGTAATGGCTATATTATGTTATAACACATACATATGTATTGAATGTACTTATTTTAACCAATGCATTGTTTTGTTTTTTTAATCTCACAAATAAGAAATGTTTTATAGTTTTTATTATAAAGAACAGTGATTATACAATTTATTTACACCCCTTACACTGTTTTCTGGAATACACCCCAAACCAGGACTATTTTTCGTAACCTCTTACAATATAAGAGGGCACAAAGTGTTTTATTACTTAATGCTTAGATTAAAATTTAATAATATATTTGTACATAAAATAAAATAGACTAGAAAGTCAATTAATTAATATTGACGTAATTACTAAATAAGTACAAGATTTTTTTTCTAATTATTTTAGTGTATTTTTAGTCCCCAATTATAAAGGAGAGATATCCAACCATTGCATTATTTTACTCACAAATAAATGTTTTATGGTTTTTATTATAAAACAACGATTAATTTATTATACACCCCTTAACCCAAACACTCCAAGGAGGATATTTCGTGACCCCTTATTTAAAGTGGACAAGCTTTATTAGTCAATGTTTTAATTACCCAGCGTCTTTAATAAAAATCTAATGTAATTTTTCATAGAAATGATCTGACATAAAAAGCAAATTTTATCAAAAACTTTTTGATTATCTACAAGGAGTAAACCGCTGACAAATGTCTGTATACTAATGCCAAAGTAATGCCAAAAATACAAATTAAATACCAAAATTTCTCATATAATTCCCGACTAATGCCAAGCTGATTCCAATATAATACCACTAATACCACAAATAATATGTAACACATTTGTTTCACGAATTAACCTGTAACAATACTGGTAGGTACGTG